CTCTCTCTCTCTCTCTCTCTCTCTCTCTCTCTCTCTCTCTCTCTCTCTCTCTCTTCCAGCTTATCTGCGTTCTTTCTTCCCTTTCACAGGGTAACATCAAGATTCTGTGGCCCTCGTTACCATCTCTCTCTGCGTCAAAATCTTGCCTTGTTCTCCGAAGTGGGCCGCAGCGAGCTATGGTTGTGTGCAGTGCCGCCACCGGCACTCCCGATCCTGAGGCCTCGGCGCCCTTGGGCCGCTTCCGGCTCAACAACCTGGGCCCGCAGCCCGGTTCGAAGAGGAAGAACAAGCGGAAGGGTAGGGGAATCGCCGCCGGGCAGGGGAACAGCTGCGGGTTCGGCATGCGGGGTCAGAAATCGAGGTCCGGGCCCGGCGTCCGCAAGGGCTTCGAAGGAGGGCAGATGCCGCTCTACCGCCGCATCCCCAAGCTTCGCGGGATCGCTGGAGGTAAACCAATTTTGGGAATCCGTTGCTAGTTTATTCGTCATCTTAATTTTTCCAAAATGGATGCCTTTTTTCTTTACTTCATCATCTGTGTTGGTATGTTAATCGGAGAGGTCATGTGGAATTTTAGCCTTGATTCATAAGACCAAGTTAAACTTGCTGAAATCTTACATGTGTTGACCAAAATTGATGCCTTTTCTTTACTTTATTATCTGTATTGGTATGTTAATCGGAGATGTCATGTGGAATTGTAGCTTTTTATTAACTTAGAAGACCAACTTAAAGTTGCTGAAATGTTACATGTCTTGACCAAAACCAAAATGGATCTCTTTCTCTTTACTTTATTATAGTCTGTATTAACTTAGAAGATCAAGCTAAACTTGCTGAAATCTTACATGTCTTGACTAAAAATGGCCTTTTATTACATCATAATCTGTTTTGGTATGTTAACGGAGTGAGGTTATGTGGAATCGTAGTCTTTGTTAACTTAGAAGATCAAGCTAAACTTGCTGAAATGTTATCTGTCTTGTGTCCTTGAGCCAGAATTGTGTTTGAATTTGGAACGTGAACATTGATTGATATACCCCTAGTAAGATAGAGAGACTACTTACCTTGTATCTTTTCCTTCAAACATTAGAATATGCACTGCTACCTACCTTAGAGTTGGTTATCCTTGTTGCTACTGCTAATGCCTTCTAAATGTAATCAATTTGCAAATGGAGAACTGTTTGTATAGTAATTGGAATATGCAACCACTTGTGCCAACTGTTTATAGTAATTAAACATTACATTTGCACTAGAATGATACTTTACAATTTAGGACAAAAATGCTGATAATCCAAAAGTTTACTGCTATCAGTTGATCAATATCGTGCAAATTCCACTGTCTTTTGTTCTTTCACTGTGCAGTTGTTTAAATTTCTTGAACTTACCAAGATGAGTTTTCTTTTTTGGCTTTTACCCACCCTCTGTTCTAACAGTTTTGGTATTGTCTTCCCTCTAATAAACTTTCCACCCACTACCCTAGTTGCCAAAAATATACCATCCCAAAGCTTGTTCATTTGTTTATTCCTTGCTGATACTATGTAGTAATTTTCTATAAGTTTTGGTTAAATTGTTTTGGTGAGGCTTGCTAGAATTTGTTGTCATTGTGGAGCCTTTCTCCAGATGGTATTTGACCTCTTGGTTTATAGGTATCATTATATATTTTAGAAGATAATTTCTTGCTAGCTCTTTGGTTCTTAATCTGATTAATTACCACATCATAAACTGGTATATGAGAGATAAGAGCTGTAAACATCGGAAGATTCTCCAACCTAACAATGCAGACTGCTGCTTCATCCAACATGGGGCTGTGATTTTTTTTTTTTTTTCAGGAACCATCATCGTCAGATCTGTTTTTTATGATCTTTCAACACCTGACCACAGTTACCGAAGCTAGATCTTCCTAGTGTTAAATCGTGGTTCTTGATCAGAACCTGCGCTGGAGGCCAAAAGAAAAGGAACAAAAAAAAAAAAGATGTGATCAGCAAACTCTTACTGTGTTATTACAATTAGCTGGAATTTTTATTCTACACCTTTAGGTGTCTTGCAACATTGTATCCCTCAAGGCTAATTACAAATTATCCCCATGTAATTAGTTACTTTTAGTATTTCGATCTCTATACTTTAAAAAATTATATTAGCATCTTTATAGTTACAAAAGTGAAACATTTAGGTTTATTTATCCTAATGTCGTCAATTTTATCAATGAAAACAAAAAAACAAAGAGCAAAAAAATAATTTTAATATTTCAATTGGTGTTGGCAGACGATGACGTTGTTAGGGGCCATAAGTAGTTGTTGTGGATAAGGAGAGTGATGACGAGAGGTGCGGGCCACTCCGTATTTGCGTTGGCGTCGACATAGTTGCCGAGCGATGATTGGGCCGCCAACACAAATGTTGAGCGGCCATTTCGTCGCTCGGCAACTGTGTCAATGCAAATGCAGAGCGGCCCTCATCTCTCGTCATCGCTCTCCTCATCTACAACAGCTACCCGCAGCCCCCAGTGGCACTGTCATCCTCCACCACCAATTGGAATGTTAAAATTATTTTTTTGTCATATATTTTCATATTTTCGTTGGTAAAATTGACGGTATTACGGTAAATGAACCTAAATGTTTCACTTTCACAACTATAGGTATGTCAATATAACTTTTTAAAGTGTAGGGATCAGGATGCTAAAGATAGCTAACTACATAGAATAATCTATAATTAACCCTATCCCTAACCATCTACAGCAACTAGCTCTTGTTATTGAGTTTTATGAATGACAATTTTTTCCTAATTTTCTTAGGCATGCATGCGGGTTTACCAAAGTTTGTACCTGTCAACTTAAAAGACATAGAAGACGCTGGGTTTGAAGAGGGAGACGAAGTCTCATTAGAATCATTAAAAGCAAAAGGCTTGATCAATCCATCTGGCAGGGAGAGACGCTTACCATTAAAGGTACAAGAACTCTTTGTTGCTTTCATCATCTTGTTTCTGAATATTTTCACTTATTTCATGGGTGGAAGTAGAAATAGACTCCAGTTGTAAGTAGTGGTGATAAATTGGTTTGCATCCTAGTATTTGGCAGTAAGAGTTCACCTATTTGTCTGTGTTGTTTTAGATCCTCGGAGATGGGGCTTTGTCTGTCAAGGTGACCGTAAAGGCACGTGCCTTTTCGGCAGCAGCTAAAGAGAAGTTAGAAGCTGCTGGTTGCACACTGACTGCATTACCTGGTCGGAAGAAGTGGGTAAAACCATCAGTAGCAAAGAATCTCGCTCGTGCAGACGAGTACTTTGCAAGGAAAAGAGCAGCGGCTGCTGGTGGTGGTAGCGAGTGAGTCTGCTTCTGCATGAGCCACATTGCTGCCGATGCTTGTTCTTGACAAGATTCTTTTTCTTCTACAACCTGTTTTGAATATTTTTCTGAGGATGCTCATGTTGTATGTGATATCTGTTTCAGCAAGCTTTTGATTCAAAGTTCTGCATTCAGCTATGTATATATGATACTGTTTGAACATGGTTTATTAGGACCTAATGACTTCAAAGCTTGACAAACTTCCAATCATGAAACAGATAAGCCTGAAACCAAAACAATGTTTTTTATGCACCTAGTAAGCGTTGATCCATCTTCAAAGATAAGATTATGACCAGTTCAGCATTTGCGTGCAGAGAGACACACTGAAGTGTCTTTCTTTAGGTTCACTAACATCATTTGTCATTGCTCCTCCTGTCATTAAGAAACGTCATTTGTAACAAATTTCACTGCAGCTTAAGAAGTTGAGAATGATAAGATAACAAAATTCACATTAACTGAGACTATTAGTAACAAAATTCCATTCCTACTGTCAACATAGAAAACCACTTTAATCGAGGACCACTGAAACAATGAAAACTATTGTTACTGTGAAGGCATTCTCTTTATGTAATGATAATGTGAGATTTTGTGAAGCCACAACATTTGCAAGGACAAACCAGAATTCTTTTCTTGCACTATTGTCTTCATGATCCTTATGACATAAATATGTTACAATGTTCTTCCTCTGACTTCAGCAAGTTACACTGCCTCGCAAGCACAAAAATAAGCACTCATTGATACCTCGACACCCACCTGAACAGACCATGACATGAATTTCACGAATGCTTGCAGCCTCAAGAAACCATGAATTTTCCCGACTGGTTTATGCTACTCTTACGTTACTAACAAGAAAACTGACCTGTGGAACATTACAATGCATGCATGGTATTGGTTGGATCTACTTTTCAATTCCTTGCTGCAAATACTGAATCAAGTCATAGCCTGCAGTGGTCCACTTGTTGTAGGCATCGTTGCATGTCCTTATCATGAAGTTTGCAGCTTCGCGCTCACTCATCTCGGGGTGAAATCTCTTCCTCAGGTTTCCTATGGGGTCTCCCCTGCTGAAGCATGGTAGACCACTGTCTACCATCAAAAGTACGGTCGTAACAATTCCATGCATATGCCGCCGTGCAGCAAGGTATCCTTTCACACACAAGCTGAAATAATAAAAAATGACATAAATACTCGAACCTGAAATTTAGCAGCTTCTGGCTAACGTAAAGAAGATATAGGAAATGTCTTGGTTGCCTCATTGCTAAAAACATGGTAGAAGATGCAACAAGGAAATTAGCACTTCTGTGTCTGTTAAAAATTGATCATTGGTCATGTGATTCTGCATGACTTCTGATACTCACTGATGGTGTCACGTTTGTACTTCTTATTGATACGAAGATATTAAATTTCAACAAACCGTGACTGGAAAAGCAATTAGTGAGTTGAAGGTAAACCTTTGATTTTACAACAGTTGACAACTTAAACTGTTTAGATGAAATCTAGCATGCATGACAACATAACTAATGGGAAGCATCCTCGACATGATCTACAAACTATGCCACCATAGTTAGTTTGACTTGACCTTCATGAATATGAGACTGTATAGCCAATGTTAGATTATACAGGTAGCAGGGTGAAGAGCATCTTAATGCGAGAAAGAAGCATTCGCATGATACAGAAATGCAACAGTAGCACTTCATATGATTGGCTTAATGCTATCAAAATGGGACAACGTACAGAAGGTGCCATATAGAGAGAGATATGAAATATGATTTACTGAATTTAATATGCTTTCATTTGTGATGACAAAGTCAGGGTGCATAGATCTCAAGTGCAAACCGAGTTTTTTCAAGTCACCGACTATCTAAAATGTCTATGCAGATATGGATTGCATGTAAGCAATTTATGCAAATTACCTGACAAACTGGCTCCAGGTATCACTCTTCATTGACCCAGAAGGGTCAAGCAGTTGAGTCATCTCGTGACTCAGTTTGAACTGAGCACTTTCGAATCTCATATTGTTACCTGGCGACGTTTCTAATATAAACCCAAAATCTATGTGAACAAGCCTTCCCTTGCTGTAAATTACAATAAGTTACACTATCAGTACTTGCAATTACTCGTGGAAGAATTAATTATTAAAGAGCATACTTGTCAAAGAGAAGATTGCCATTATGTCGATCCTTTGGTTGAAGTAGGAGGCTGGCAACAGCATAGCCAGCACTGCTGATCATAAACATTTCACGTGCAGCCTCAAAAGTGGGAGAACCTACAGGTCCATAATCTTGTTGAAAAATCTCATATAAACCACCGTCAGTAGTCTCCCCCATTTGGTTTCTACTCCGTGTATTAGGAACAACCTGCATGATTTTTTGAAAAACTAAATTTTTAAGAGATATCTAATATGGAGTGTGCCCTTGATATAAAATACTTGAAACAGCTTTGTAAGATGGTGTCAATTATCTTTGCAAACAAAATCATCTGATCAAACAATTCATATGACAGGATAGACGGCAAATTCTGAAGAAACAGGAGACTCTTATGGCACAGCAACAGCATAGTTCAATGTTTTAAACATATTTCATCATAGCAAAAGTACTAAGTTGTGCTGCTTAATCAAGATACCAAACTACTAAAATTGAAGCTTTAACCATGTGCAACAGATATCAGAACCCTAAATATAGTTCCTGGATTCCGCATATATTTTCATTAAGCTAATCCAATGTTTAGAAGATGGCAGCACATTCAACCTCAGGTCCTCCTACAGTATATCACCATCTGCTTCTATACTACTATTACAACTGGCCTAAATTAGTTGGAAGCAAACATATAGGAACTACAAAGATCAAACTGACCAAACCATGACTCCTTGCAATAATATGTTACTGAGAATTAAAAAGTTCCAAGGAGAACATGAAAACTGAAGGAATAGCACAATCATCAAACAAATAGCTTTGAGGTAGGCAGTACTGCCTAGGAGCTTCAGCCCACCACCTTAGATGCTACATCTTCCAATATATTTTTGGCCAAACTGCATCCAAGCATCTTGATCAGTGCCTAAGTGGCCATCTAGTAACATAATGTTGCATTTCGCTTGGATGACAAAACAGTCTCAAGGTGTGATAATATATCAATCTGAATGTCATAGGAATTCAGGTGACACTGATCATTAAAGCTTAATCCTACATCACTTGAGTTGAAATCTTGAGGTTTGGTAATGTAATCCTACATGTTGTAAACAGGGAATATAATCTGAAAAGTAGAATCATGAGCCATAAAAATTCTATGAACCCATAATTGAAACAAAGATCAAAATGGAGATGTATTTGCACTTGGCACATATAGATATACCAACTATAAATGGAAATCCTACCTCAATTATGCCCCTCTCATAATCAGTTGGCAGAACACCATAAGGAAACAGATACAGGTTTAACCCAACTGCTTCAAATACATCCCTAAGCAAAGAAATCACTTGAAGCGCAAGAACATCTTGTCGGCAATCATCTCCAACCTACAATATTAGGAAATGCTGTAAGCAATCAGCACTTGGTAGTATACAATATACTATATTGTGCTATTAATAGCAAAATAAAAGAAATGCAATGGGAGGATTTTAGCTAAGCCAATACTAAGTTTCAAAAGTACTAAAATGAGCTTAAATACATAATCTCCCGCAAAGTGTTGACTCGTGGCACTGGCAACATCAAGAAGCCACAATGTCCCAACTACATGGATTATTTCCCACTATTGAGTTCTGGTTAGGGCAGCATCACCAATCAAAATCATTCTAGCATAAGGGAGAAACAATAATATCCAGCACACTACATGTCAGTTGAGGTTTTGTCATCTGGCACAGGCTTTGTGACAGGACAATGGAGTGTCTGCGTGCCCTCAGCACAGCACAGACCTGTTTGAATCCTGTGCCAAGACATACTGTCCAGCGTGGATTGCCATGGACTGTCACAAAAAGCACACAAACCATGACCTCTCTAACCAAACTTCAGATCATAGATTATTATACCAACAAAGGCCTTAATTGCCCAAATTTAGCAACTGCAGTTTGATGACACATCAGTAAGAATATATGAGATGCAAATTAATAAAACAAAAGCATAACTACAAAATGCAACCAAAGAACAAAAAGAATTTAACTGACTCCAAGTACTTCATTTATGAACACAGATGAACATACATAGCATAGCAGCTGCATTCATGAGGTAGAGAACTTCAATGATAGATGTCACACTGAAATAGACATTTGGAAAACTATGCATTTCAAAATTAGAACTTCCTATTTACAGAGAAGTGGATTTTTTGTAACCCAAAATCATCACAAGATAGATGTTATTGCTTGATGATGGATGTGTGATATTTTAGCATGAACGTAGTTACACATACAAATGTAATAATCTAGTATTCAAGAGAACAGATTGGTTAAAGAAACTAGTAAAACTTAAATATCAAACAAAGACATGTAAAGATGCACATATACAGCATAGCCAGCCAAAAAAGATAACTCTTAAGGAATAAATCAAAGTGCACAAAGCAAATAACAGATTGTAAGGTAGAGTAAGATTAGAGCCAAGATCTTTAACTTTACAATTTTTTTAGCACTTAAAACATGTCTTTGAAAATATGCCACACTTAGTTTCAGTTCTTGATTTATATTTTATAGGCCAATATAACAAGGTTTTCTTATGCAACATTGCCACAAAAAAAAATATAGTGCCAAAGTTCCACCTGATGAAGTCCTGAACCATTTCTGGTATACTGACTTCTTAATCTAGAGGCACATAAAAAATAAATGTCATGAGAGAAATCTGGAACCCTACAAAAAATAATGGCTACAGTAGTTGCTGTAATCTAATTCAATCTCAAGCTCCAACAGGAATTGATCACAAAGAGGCCAGCATACATGAAGTACAGAAAGAAAATTCAGTATCGAGGTTCTGCCAAGCTAACCTCATGATCAAATTTAAGATCTAAATTAACTTTATTAGTCTTGAATGTGCATATTAAACTAAAACATGATTAGAGTTAAGCAATGCATCTACAGTGAGGAACTTTAACTCTAAATCCAAATGGGTTCCTCTGACTGACAAACAAGAAATAAGTTATGGCAGTAACTTACCTTAAAAATACAGGCCTGTGGCATTACATCATTAGGATCCCCATCTTTATCAACAACATTAAATGTAATCATTATAGGAACTTTTGCTGCTGATTGAAGGGGAATCCCACTATCCAACTGAATGCCCCGAACAATTTTATTTGGAGCAGTAGGTAAATAGAGATCATCACCATCAATACTAATTTTCTCCAGCTCTCTGAAATAAATACAAATGTAACCCGCTTACATGGTATTAAACTGAAACCACATTGGCATAAAAAATGATAAATACAATGCTATATAAGTGATACCTTCTGATACCAGCTCTGCGTTCCTCCTTTGGTAGTGGAAAGAGAACACCAGAAATAGATGTGACTTTGTCAAAAAAGTCAAACTCTCTCCGAAACATGTCAAGGGCCTCAGAGGTGAAACCATCAATAATTTTCTGTCTGACGACAGGAAGTATTGCTTGAAAGGAATTACTCTATACGGGATCACAAGAAAAGAACCATGTAAACATACAAACTAAATATATGTAATTTACAAATCATTCTAATAAGGATTTACTCTATATAGGATCACAAGTTTATGACAGCATAAACTTTTAGCAAAATAGAATGTTGAATCCAATCTTCACTTTAAAGTCCTGTCAACATGCTTTGACCCAGTATTTAAAAAAAAAACAAACAAACAATAATAAATTTACATAAAGAAAAGACATTGTTAATTTGCAATGCATCCAATGTTAGAAAACTGTGGGCTCAGTGAAAACAGGCTCAAATATGACACAAGCCAAAATTTCAAAAAGCAACAGACGTCTGTGTCAGGTGAGCTCAAGTATGAGTGATGGTTGACATCTGTGTCCAGGAGAAATGACGGCCTTCATTACATACATTGAGCCTTGAGGTGTAAGGACTTAAACTAAAAAGCAAGACTTTAACTATCAAGTGCACCACCCACGGGACCAGAATGTAGACCAAGTGATCTCATCAAGTCATTTTTCTTTTAATTTTCTAATATGTTCTGTTTACAATTCTTTTTGGCCTTCTCCAGTAAATTTCGTCAAAGTGGCCAGTTCATCCTGAATTTTTATTCTATTCTTCAATCTTATGGATCATTTTATTTGTTGGCATTTACTGAAACAAACCTTCCTAAGAAATTGTGTTATTGCATGAGAAGTACCTGAGAGATCTCATAATATATACGTGACATCTCAATCTTGCTTCATCTTTATAATTCAGTATGTATATAATGGATAAAATGTTTTTTTACTAGCTAAGTAGGTTAGCAATCTACCACAATCCTTTTGGAAAGTATAAAAAATCACTTGCTTTCTGCTTTATAGAATGCAGCCAAGGTCATGGAAAGATAACCTACCTTGACCACATCAACATCTTTTCCAGATTCTTGCGAACATGACTCACCCTGTCATTTGAAATTTGGAGAGCTGACGTCAGAGAAAGACTTAATGAAACCCACAATATGATTTTGTAAAGAACAAAAAATTGAGCTAATTGTTTGAGGAAACCACAATTAGCTAGGCACAGATCAGTGTATAAAAAAACATAACAACAAAAATGGTTGCAAAATTAAGGTTAGAGGCAACACCTGAAGATGCCATATCAAGATATGAGCAAATATGTTACTTCTTTGAGTAGCTCGAAGCAAATAGCTTTCAACTAACCTCTGCAGAATTCAAGAGAATAACGTTAGTATAGAAACAAACAAATGGGGGATGAACGCACATAATAAAAACATAGGCAGACCTGTATTCTTGAACTACAAGGTGACTATTTATGACATAAAATTCATGCCAAAACAAAAGGGAGCCAGAGCAGAAATACTTTGCATGTAGGACACCCACCCCTTCATCATATCGTAGAGCTTGTACCAGCTGTGGCATGAAAAATGTCACACGTTCCGGTGGATAGGACTCTAGAACTCTCATGGCATAAGCCATCACACGTGGATGGCCCTTATATGGAGGACTGAAAAATTCAAGAGCCTGAGTGATGGAACAAGAAGCCCAATGTGGTAATTGCTGCAGCAATACTGAGTTCTCTTCGATTGCCTTTGGAGTGACAAAAAATGGTAATGCTTCAGGTATAGTACGAATCTCTGATATGTGCACCTGTGAAGAAAAGACAGAGCAAAAGCCAGGAGAAATCAGATCAACTATATTAAGAAATTAGGAAGCAAAAGAAGTGATGGTTTGATCTGCAAGTACAACTCTTAGAAGAGTCGGTATAAGGAAACAGGGACAAATGGTATAATCACAAAAGGACAAAATATAGGAACAAATTTTCTCTATCAGCTATGTAGTAACTACAAGAGAAAAAGAAAGGAATATAATCAATCAAAAATTTGGGCATACAGAAAACATACTTGTACCAACTGAGTTACTTCAGACATCACATGTGAATTTGTAGGGAACCTCAATGTCAAGGAGAAAGCAATGCGGGGATCCACAGAAAATGCAGTTCTTACATGCTCAATCCATTTATCTGAGCCAATTTTAGGACGAGATATGTTGTCTCTGTAGAAGCATTAGAAAAGATTTAAATTTTTAGTGTAACATTTGCTGCAGCACTAATGTATAAAGCAAAAGCACATTTTACTGAGCAATACTTCATATTTAAGGGTTGCGCCCAGACTTCAAGCCTGTCACATTCATGCTGGCAAAGCATAAGAAGCAACTGTTTGCGCTTTTCTCGCCCAGTAGCATAGTTATCCATATGTCCCCATACAGGATGGGATAGTTCCGTCTGTAAATCATGCAGAGGAGACAATTAGACAAGAGAATAGGGTCTACTACGTTACAGCATTAAACTTTACAAGTTTGAATGCTTGAAATCAAACATACCATATTCAACAATTCATTCTCACGTCCTCGTCCTTTCAATGATGAATCAGTTGGAATGCTATCCACGCATTCGTTCAAAAGATGATGGACAAATAATGAAACAGATTGGGCTTCACTTTGAGCAAAACTCTTACTATTTGTTTCATACCACTCAGGCCCATAAGCAAACCAGCTCAAGGATGCACTGGAATACACAAAATAATGTCACCTGATTGCACCACACAGAACACATAACAAAATGGGTATAGCCAGATATGATAATTTCTCTTCATGCTCAATAAATTAAGTAATCTTGCTTGTGCATATTCATGATAAAAGAAAATAAGGAGGGATGATCATTACTCTTTCCATCACATAAGAACATCTTAATGTATAAAATATAGATAACTTTTCATATAATCATAAAGATAGAGCCATAGAGGTGACAACGTGTTAAGCATCAAGATGTGCTGTCTCTAACAAGCATGATATCCCATGCTGGGTGGGTCTCAATCAAAGCAAACCAGAATCCTGCATTGGTACCAAAACTGCAAGTAATTGGCCAGACAGCCCTTTGAGCGAGAAATGGGCTCATCCAGCACCAAGGCCTCCTTGAGGAGGGCAACAAGGAATGTTCTTCGATATGTAGAGTATAAGCTATAAAGTTTGCATCATCTTTATTTTCTTAGGATTAAAATAAAACAACTGTTCCTCACAAATATAATTTCTTTAGTTTCTTGTACAATTTTCATGAGTTTAATCCTTTACTTACACAGTGCAAACTATAACTACAAGAGAAGTATACTGAAAAAGAACAACCAATTAACATTTTAGCAAACTGTTGGCCATCAGTATAAAAGGTTAATACAGAACTAATGTAAATGATGCTAGGATCAATGCTACTAACCGGAAAACCCTATCCTCCAACAATTGAAGGCCCATCTTGGAATTCTGCAAATTTTTCTGTGACTGGCATGAGCAGAACTTCAATCCAAGAAGCATTGCTGTGAAGAAGGTGCCAGCAGCAGCAGGATGGTGAGAAAAATGTGAAGGAGATTTCATTGTCCCTTGCAACATTCGGCCTAGAAGCAGAAGTTGCTCCATACTGTCATGTCGAACAACCTAGCAACAACAAAATCAGTGCAACATATCTGAGATTTGTGGATGCTGCATATAAAGAATATCAAATAAATAAGTGAAGCCATGTTTTGTTATGCAAAAGTATATACCAACGACAAGAAAGTCTCTGGCAATATGACAAAACATGCTTTGTGATGCTCCATTAAAGTATTAATTTAAATTTTAAAGTGTCAGACACATTGCAAACGATATGGTTTCTTGGTTATAAGCTGAAGAACACAAAACTTTCAGTCATCATGGAGAGCAAGGTGGCTAGGTAATGGTCAAGCAAATATAATAATAGACTCAACTACAACAAAATAGAAAAACAGGAAAACGAGAACACAAAAAGGAACTGATATATTCAAAGATATACCCAGAACCGCAGGGGATACATTTCATGAGTGTATTGCACCGAGCAAAGCTATTGATAATTCATCAGCAAGTTAACTTCATTCTACAAACATCTGGAGAAAAGTTTACCTGAAAGCTACTACAACCATGATACATAATGAAGACCAAGGATTTAAATAATGGATTGATACCAGTTTTACAATCCAGTAGATGCCAGTATATTGAGCCCAGGATTATCGAATAAATAAAATTTTAAAATGAATTGTATTGCATAGATATCAGGCTAAACATGTCGTCACCGGCACTAGGTCGAACCAGTAGATATCAATCAGTATGTACCAATCTGATTGGTATTTAAATCCTTGATGACGACCCAAGATCAAAGGATAAGCTTGATTAGTCATAATAAAAAGGACATCGTGTATACATGCAGAAGAAGACTATATGATAGTAAGATTGGAGCAATAGACATTGACATTTTAGGGTGGCTTACATAGAGCATAAGGAACTTTCCTTTTGGGTTATTGATTAAATTTAGATAGTCCTTTCACTATCAAATTCCAACTATCCATTTGAAATCAAGTCACTTCAATTTAGTTCATCAAGAAAAAAATTGAAGGATGTAAATAAATTTGTTTGTGGGACTCTTGGAACAACTAGAATTGTCTAACTTATTTGTTCATGGGTGAATTTGGAATGACTAGAGTTATATAAGCAGTAATACTAAATATTTGCACAAAACATCAATGGAACTCCAACTGTTGCTCATAAACTTTAGGAGTGTAGCCTCTCAATCTAACCAAAATTGGAAGAACTCCAAGACATGATTTTCCTTTTAGCCAAACTAGAATCCATTATGTTAACATTCCACTTGGTTTATAAAAATAAAACACCATTCTCATGACTCTGTTGCCAGGAGACTCAGGCCTACGAAGTTCTAGTAATGTTAAACATTAATAACAAATAAACAGAATTTATATCACCTAATGCAAAGTTGTTTATGATGCATGAACATATAAATATATTTCTTGTTTAAAAAAATATATTATTAGTTCATGGGGTATTTTGCAATGTCATAATCTGCCAAATAGTAGCATCTTCTATTATGCTACATTAATTACCAATATTGCCCAAAAGAAGAAAAGAAAGGGAGCCAAAGAAAAAAGGAGATTAATCTTGGTCTTTGTTAGAGAATCTAAGGAAAAGAAGGAAATACATCTTGGGCTCAGTTGAAGATTTCATCCCTATGGACAAAGAATTAACAAAAATGGAGGGAGGCCCATAAATCAATTTTGCCAAGGAAGATTAGTTGTCAACACACACACACACATATAGGAAGTAGATTATCCATTTGTCATGATGTAATTGTATACTTTTCTTATTTTTGTATTTTTCTTTCCTGTTGTATTTGTTGGGTTTATAGAAAGAGGGAAAAGGATTGAAACAAAAGATCAAAGACATAGAATGAACAAAAAAAAATTCCCACAACATATGCAAGTGGTATGAGACTATGTTTCTTTCCTTGATGGTGCGATACTGCGATTCTATCATCCTTGTGAGAATCACTTCTTGAAACATAAGGAGGTTAATAATTTTCCTTTTTTATATCATCTTTCTCAATTATCATCTTTCCTTTTCCCTATTCCCTTACTCTTTCTCATTTGTCATGAACATGGTATCAAAGCTCGTCGAACATTAGATTTGGTATCAGAATCAAGTAGTCCTATGCCAAGTTATATCAGAATTGTTCATTTAACCAAGATGTTTTATAGTCATATGTCAAATTATATCAGAACTGTTGATTTAACCAAGATGTTTATAATTAAGGTTGATCAAAATTTCATCCAATTGAAGTCAATGAGTTCCTATTCAATAAAACTACATGATACACGACCATTTTTATTTTTTTTTGTTTGAATAAATTTTATTTGTTCAAGGGCTGCTTTTGCTGTGTAAAGTTGCCAAATGGCAAATTACTTACCAAAATTGTTTAAGAGAACAAAACAAACATAAAAAAGGAAGAACATTAATCTTAGGCTTCAATTAAGATTCCCAGTAAAAAGAAAGAAAACATATCTTGAGCTTGCTTTGAATATTTCAAGGGTGTATTAAAGATTTCTTCCTTTAAAGAAGTTTCATCATTATTGAAGAGACAAAGAAGGAAATCTACTGATCAAGTAGTTTCAAAGAATGTTCATAAGAAAATAAGAATATATCTTTCCAAAGAAGAGAACTGATGATTGATTTACCTTAATATGTACTTGGGAGTCTCTAATAAGATGGAAAGAGATAATAACTAAAGATCATAGAATGATTGAATAAATATAAGTTTTATCACATTATGTATGAGTGTTGTAAGACCATGTTTCTTGTCTCAATTATATGATTTCATCATCTATGTATGAGACAAATGGAGATGTGAAGTCTTTATCCCTAGGAAGTACTTCTTGAGACAGAGAGTCTAGTAGTTAGTTTTTTTCTATTATCATTCACAATCTTTATCTTTTCCCTCATCTATTCTTAAATAAAATAATACTCTCTCTGCTTGTCACGAACTTGTCCGACATCAAGTTTGGCATCAGAGCTAAGTTGTCCTACATCAGTCTCAGAATCAAAACTAAATATCCACATGTGAGCATTCTATTAACTACACTATCATAGAGGATGCTACAGGAGAGAACTGACGAATAGCCACAAACTCAATCCTAACCTCAAAACGGTCAATGAAGAAACCAAGCCAGAGCCTATGCGCAATTAGCCCTTCTACAGGATCTTTTTCTTCTGGTGCTTCAGGCTCACCAGGAACAAGATGCGGCCTCAATTTTGCAGCAGGACCAGAATTTCTCATCTCTGATGCAAACAATCCACGTTTTGTATCTATTGTCCACAGCCAGGCATCAACAAGCTCTGCGAGGACAAGAGATCCCAGCGAAGGTGCAGCAGAAACCAGCCATGTCCAGATAAATATTCCAGTCTCCATCGCATCTGGTGTAGAGATGTAAGCAGGACACCAGCAAAGAAGCCGTAATAGTTGTGAAAATCCTTCCATGTTCAATTTAGACTCAGCATCCTGATCATCATCTCAATCAATAACAATAAGTGCCAGAGACAGTGTAATGACAAAACACAGGATTAGCAAAAAGAACTTCAAAATGAAATTCAAAGGTTTACCAAGTATGACAGAAGTAATGCAGTTGCCTGAGAGCATGTTTCACGAAATAATGTCTTATCCATCACTAATCCTTTCTCAGCAGTACCAACAAATTGCTGAAGCAGATGAACAAACTTCGAAAGAAGAATTTCGCTGAATGATTCCTTTTTAAGATTTAATTGCGGAGAGGGTAACCCTACATTCATGGGTTGACCAAGACCAAGTCCCAGACTTCCTGGAGACATGCCCATCTGAAAACCCCCAATACTCTCATATAGCCTTTTCATACCAGCAATCTCCCCAGCATGGTTGCACTTAACTGTCGCACTCACAACAGCAGTTGAAAGAACTTCCAGAATAAAACCATCCGATACTTCCTTTTTGGCTCCTGATGCTGCTGCTGCAGAATATATAACCGCTGGAGTATTTGCCGTCCTAATGCCAGTCCAAGAATCGTTCTTCCCTGTACAGATACGTATTTCAGACAAAAGGGAAACCACATCTGATGCATGTTGTGTCCTCTGCAAAGCATTCGGCTTGCATAGGTTTTCCTGGCATTGTAATGTCAAACATCAGAATGTGTAACCGAACACTATATAAGAGTTCTTATGGAGCAACTAGATTCAAAAAGCATAACAACTCTAGTGTGCCAAAGAAATTTCTCATTATAATTTGTGTGATATGCAAACCTTAATGTCAATTAAATGTCTCATTATATGTATATGTGTATTAGTAACTTAAGAAGAGCATAGTGACACCTCTCCTGCATTCTGGTCCAAAAATGTTTCACAAATAAAAAGTATTCAATGTGATGCAATTGTTGTGATGCACCAAGGAACTATATAAGCTTAATCATCCAATCAGCACAGAGAAAAGTTCCATTTGGAGCATCAAATTTTGTCTTTTGTTATGGCAGACCAATTATGTTGCCTAAGAGGTTTCAAACAGACGTCTAACTAGCATTTTAGGCCTCAATAAGTCGACATTGTACAATGGGAAACCAAAGCTGATTTAGTTTAGGGTTATTCTATCAGAAGATGAATGGAGATAGGTCAGATCATTGCTAAATGGTTCTAATGAAATTTGACTTTCCAATTGAGGCTATCACCAATGTCATTTCATGCAAGAACTCTGCTCAATACTATGAAAAGCATCTATGGACTGACAAACCCTTCATGCTTAACTAATCCGCCCATAATAGACATCGTGTATTCTTTCATTTATTAAGTCTAAGCATGGGAGAATCCAAACCAACCCAAATAATACAAATTCATCCAATCTACCTGTCTAGAATCATCATCAGCATGTTGATAACCTTAATTACCACAATATTGAATTTTCAATGGCATAAATTCAGTAAAATATTTCATAAATCAGCAAATGAGAAGGAAGAAGAAAAAAAAGTGAGAATAGAGATGAAAGAGAAGAAGATTAGGCCAAGCAACTTTGTTTTTTTTTTTTTCTTTCATCACAAGAACATTCATAAGCCTCTTTTTCTCAGGCAAGGACCCTTCAATATAGAAGACACTGAGGAAAAAGTATTTGAGTCCAGAAAAGGAAACAGGGTGGTGAAACAAGGCTTTCAAAATAACCTAGCTGTCAACTGTTTCATTGCATTTTTATTGTGATCCCATCCCTACAAAAGTGACAAATTTGGTCGAGACTAGATGTCCAGCACAAGAATAAATCAAACTACAACTAAACTTGTATACAACAAATAACAACAACAACGAGGCCATAAAATCCCAACTTCGATAAAAGTAAACTTGGATGCCTCGAGAATAATATATCCTATATAATGTAAGTAAAGAAATTTGCGTCTCCATGGCCCAGCATATGTATATACTGGCATCAAACTGCCAATATATGCAGGTTCCTCTTTGTTAGAAATCAGAGTATATATTTTGAATCTTTACACCTTCCAATTAAATGTAGTAATAAAAATCTTGGATATAATAATGAGCCAAAAAAATTGTTAATGTATCAGCCACATACTGGTGGACCTAGTTGAAAGCATCCGTAGATTATGTTAAGCATCTATACATTGAAGTTTGGACCAACAAAGTCAGCCATACCAACATGAATTCTGATACAACCTAATATGATGTATAGAAAGATCAGACCACGCTAGCACATGTGTGGTAAGACATTTAACGGACACCTAACCAAGGACTAAATCTCAAGTCTGTACCAATACTGATTGGTGGTCGGACATGTATGATATTGAAATTACATATACTGGTTGTTGGTATGAAGTAGTACTGGTTGCCATCAGCCGGAAGAAGCAAAGAGAGAGAGAAGAGGAGGTCAGGTAATCATATCATGACCCATCGGGTTAGAATAACTATCCCATTCCCTTAATGGACGTGAACCACTAGCCCAAAATGTTTTAGTTCAAGTTAACACCTCATAAACCAGTCCAATGTTCCTGCAACATTTGATATAGGTATAAATCAGGATATTACCATCTCTCTCATTTAAGACTTGATGTCCTCATCAAAAACCCTAGTGTAGCGCATGTAGTCTCCGCCTATTGGTGGTGGCTCCACGCAATGTCCTCACGCCTCATCCACAAGTATTATTTGTCACAACCCAACCGATGGGATAATTTGACCAGTCTTAACCATAGATATAAAATATTTAAATCCAAGTTAATAGTAGAAGACTCGTCTATCTCTATGTGCGAACTCAACTTCTCTCTCATATTTAATGTGGAACAAAACCAAAGAATTACACATCAGGCGATGAACGAGAGGCCACGACGAGGCAACAAGAAACAATGGAGTGAAGCAAGAGGAGGTGGAGAGACGGCAACTTGGTATGAAGAAATATAGAAATACAAGAAAAGAAGTAAAAAAAATGGAGTTGATGGTGGATACCAGTAACAATTAGCTTACTATCCAATAAGCCCGATGTGGTACAAAGGAAGAGAAGACACCGATAATGCGGCAGGGTGGAGGCAAAAGTGAATGCAATGGGGAGGAGGGGAAAAATAAAGGAAGAAAAAAAAGAGAGTAGAGAAATCAAGAAAAGACAAAGAAGAAAGAAGAAATTTAAAAAAAATGATACAGAGAATTGTTAAAAAGTAAAACATGGTCTAGTAAACCCGGTAAAGTGATTTTACAGCACAGTAAAGCCCATATTGAACCAATCATAAGAAATTATGTAGCCCTCATCTTGGCTGATTGTCAAACCAGTAAATACCATATTGACTGTACCATCAAATGTTCGAATGGTATTTAAAACTTGGTTATTAGTCTACAAAGACATAAATCTCATCATAAAACTCATAAAGTAGAATTCAACTCTAACTGAAGAAGCTTTTTTTTCAACCGCAATTGACATAAATTCATTAAGATCCTAATCATGTAAGTACAGCTTATTTATTCCTTGAGCAAACCTGTAGAAGACCCTGTGTAGTGCATGGAGCATAAGAAAGAGCAGTAGTGATCCATTCTCGAGCAATTTTTTGGTATAAAGAGCGAATTGTGGCAAGCCAAGCAGGATCATGTACTTGAATAGATGGTAATTCATTATGACCTGAAAAAAGAAGTGAATCCAAGCACAAAGAGTTCCATAATACCTGCAGGCAAAACAACCAGTTTTTACAACAAAATAACTGAAAGATCGCAAGAAACGTATGAGAATCATCCAGCCAACATAAAGGGAGAACTAACCTGTGGAAACTTTTCTCTCAGCTGAGTTAACAAATTAACACTAATATCACGGACATGTTCATCCCTTTGTGACAAATTCTTTATGAGATAGCACGCATGAGCAGAAAGAACCGATTCCCTTATTTCAGCCTCTTGTCCTATATCAGATATTTTTTCCTCCTAGATAATCAATAAAGCTAATTACTATATAAGAATTTGCCACAATTCAATCCCAATAAAAAAAACAGTGGTAGCAATTATAATTAATAGAATGCAACAACCAGATGATACACTCGAATTAGATTAAGATATTGTCAGTTGTCACAGGCCCAAAGAGTTGACATGAAAGTTAGCAATTGATTACTCGATTCTTTACAAGATGTCAAGCTTAGAATTCCTTTTATTTATGATATAAGATTTAAGCAGTTGAAAAAATGAACAGCTGGTTATTAATGATCTGAGAAAACCAAATCACATAAAATTGGTGACTAAGGCTTGCCTCACTCTCACCTTCTAGTTGTTAAAGTCTAATAAAATGCCTCTTATTGGTGACAGACATATTAGACTCAGATTATCATCTGGTTGCGTAGCATGATATGGTTATTAATGATCTGAGAAAATCAAATCACATAAAATTGGTGATTAAGGCTTGCCTCACTCTCACCATCTAGTTGTCAAAAGTCTAATTAAAATGCCTCTTATTGGTGGCAGACATATTACTCAGATTATCATCTGGTTGCGTAGCTTGGTATCTATTTTTTCTTGTCCTTCAAATTTCTTCTTTAGCTCCTTTCCTCATCCAAAAAACCATGTATATATTTAGTAACAGATTTTTTATCCTTAAGCAGAACCAAGGAATGCAATACCGTACCATACCGGTGTTTCAAGGTTGGCTCGATATGGTACGGTACCAGCGTACCGAGCGGTACATTAGGGCATACCAAACGGTACACCAGGGCTTACCGAGCGATTTCCTCTTACTGTAGCACGGTCCATCCGGTAGCGGGCGGTCCGCGTACCGGTATGCCGTCGGACCGGTACGTACCACCCGTACCAAACGGTACCATTCGAAATTGCATACCATGAGCAGAACATCTCAAATTTGTGCAGAAATGAAGACTTCTCTCCTGAAATAGCTCTCATGTGCCATTTTTCATCTATAGTAAATGTTCTGGGTTGAGAGTAGTCTTGGTAGACATGTCAAATGAGCACAAGGTAGAGGTGGAAACCAATATTAACTAAGGAGCTAACAGTACAGGCCCAGAGAATAATGATGACAATGCTGAAAAAATATGTAAATAAAGAGTTAGGTAGAGAACTCCCCTATAGTATAGCATTGTTAATGATTGTTGGAAAGATAATCGTGAAATTATAGCAAAGAGGCACCCCAATCATGAAATTATATACATGATCACCTAGATCAGGCAGCAGAAACCTCACCATGCACCAAGACTCGGCCACAGATCACGATATTATAAAGATGTCTTAATTCCATGCTAAAAATATTTTAAATATCCTTCCAATGGCTAAAAATTAATAACCTTCTGCAGCCTATTCCTTGCAAAGAAATCATATTGATGCTTTAACATTTGCCAACACTGAGCCATTTTGATGTCTGCACATACGAGCAACTTAACATTGAAGTGTAACAGTTCAATTATGCATATATGAGAACTTGAATAATCAAGTGTAACAGTTCAAGTAGGCCTATATAAAACTTGTTAATGGTGTATCAGTTTACTTTCTATTTCCTTGATAACCTGATAACCAAAGCTAGCATCTAATTTCACTCATTTCTTGAATAACTTTTTATTTCCTTTCAGCCTTTTTGGTTTGGTGAAAAAACACCATAAATAATACCTAATCCAAAGATTTTTTATTTTATTATCCATAAATATCACCATAAAATAATATTTTGCCTTAACTAATATTTTCAAGAACTTCCACTTTCACTCGATAACAGGTCAAAGTATCAAACAACAATCTTATAAAACCGAATGGGGATTAAATGCAAAACATTCATGCTCTGCACAATTTAAGTGCCTGCATGGTGGAGATCAATCGTTTGCTGTTTTTCTTAACAGTATGAGTTCAAATAAACAAGGATCATCGCAATTATCGCCTACCAGAGAGCAGCTTTTTTCTGACCATTTTAAGAAAGAGCATATAAAGATCCTCCTTGACATTAGATGTAAAATTTATCAGAAGAACAGGCAAATAGATAAATAAATGCATCAATAAAATATTTAGCAAACTTAAAAATTTAAGCAGTGTGAATGAATTCAGTTGTGTTTATGTACATGTCTAATCTGGCAAAAACAAGACAGTATAATGATTGATATATTGGCACATATACAAAAATAAGTTTAAAAAGATCATATATTAGACAAATGCAAGAGTTAGAACATACATCACAAAAATAACTAAATAAGCATACTTTGACAAAATAACTTGATTTAGAATGTTGTGAAAATGCAATAATACATCAGAAAATGTTTGTTTATAGTCATTCATTTTATTGTTAAAACCTATCCAAAAATGTTTTCTGGGAATCTGGTGTTCATCTTATTGACACATCTGACACAATTCATATGGATGAATAATAGAAACCATATACCACATACAATAAACTAGAGAGATGCCTGGTCAACATCCATAGTTGAGTAACAACCAGAATAAAATAAATGTATGATATAAAAGTTTTCAAGTAAAAAACAAAGCACCATATAAAAAGGAAAGTGCATATTTCAAAAAGCATCAAAAGCTTACCAGCCATGATACTGCTGCTTCAAAAGCCCTATGCACGATTGCAGTCAAGCATTGAAACACGGCAGGCATCAAGTTTGGAGTAAGTAGATACTCAAACACACAACTGAACGCACTTTTTGATGTAGTCGAAGAGGGGTCAGCAGAGAGTAAGCCACCATTACAACTAAACCGTATTATCTCCAAAAAAGCTACTGCAAGAAGATATGTTGCCTTAACACCTGTTGTTCAAATAAAAATTCAAACAATATTAGTATAGATTGTTCTCTTCTCCTAGCTAGATGAATCTACTTTTTACTAAGCCAATCATAGCCAGAACAGCACTTTGAATCAGATCCTACGAGATGCAAAGATTAAAAAAAGAAGTAAAGCAAAATAGGACGTCTTTTTAACAAAGATTTCATTTGAACCTGAAATTGTGCCCATTGCTGCTACCTCAACTCGTCCTCCTAATGCAGCAGAAAGGGCAGCTCTCTGAGCAACAGCAGCTTTCTCGTTACCACTGCCACGACGACTTCCAGGGTTGTGAAGTGCATTTAGCTCCAATTCATCTTCAAGCCATTTCACTGAACTAACAACCTATCACAAACATGTCCATTGCCATAATACAGAACCATTATCCATCAAGTAAATATTCAAATAACAATTATTAGCATCATTAATTAGCAATCTAGTTAACATAAGATGATTCAGATTTTAAGACTTTTGTCACTGCAAAAAACTAACTCTTGATCCTACAAAAAAACAGTTGCAAACCTTAAAACATGAAAGAGCTGATATGGAAGAAAAGTTATCAATTATACAAGGACAACAAAAAAGGAAGCTTGCAAGCATCACACAAGTTTGTTTCAAAGAGTAAAAGATGGATGTTGCATGTATACTCAAAAAACTTAGCATGTCGTATGTGAAAAAGCAGTATCTGCTTGCAAGAACTGAAAAATGGTTTCATTAAATGTATTTGATATGGTACAACAACTGATGTAAGATGAAGATATTCCGCAGAAGTATTATGATGCTTTTATTAGCTTACCAGAGGTGGTGTTCCTTTTGCAATGCGTCGGACAGCCATAGACCATTCCTCATTCCACATGTATGGCCCAGCCACAGCTTGAAGAGGTATGGTGCTAACACTTCCCACAGTATTTAACGATGTTGATACTGGCTTTGTTTGGATCTGATTTTGTTGAATCGGAGGTGCTAAGCCAAACAAAACAATATAGAACCATAGGTTTCGAAATAGCTTTAATAGAGAAGGCTCAACATTGGCTGCAGGATCAAAGTCAGAGCAGATTTCTGCAATTGCAGGCAGTAATGGCCCTAAGAAATCGGCACCACTCCTACAAAATCAAAAGCATCACACTGAGAATAACAAAAGAGAGAAACATAAAAAGAACTCCTTGAGCTTTAGATAACCAAAACTTCAAATGTTCCACAGGTTGCTATGATACAAGACTGAGCACACAGCTAACAGTGCTTGACATTTTCTGTGTCCTTCATATTGGGCAGCAGGGGCAACGTCCACAATCAGGTGGCTGCCCATACATCAAGCCCCTGAAAAGATTGGTGCATAGGCTTGGCTACCTACATGAAGTGTAACAAAATTGACACAAAGACCTGTCACCCATCAAAACCCTACCTTCCACTTTGTGATTCAGCAGCTAGTCCCACATCAGAGCATAAAGATAATAGCCTATGGCGGTAGTCAGACCTTAGTTTTGCGGCGGTAAGACGAGAGGCAACCAGAAGAAACCCTGCAGGAAGTGTCTAGAATATAGTTGAAGCAGTTAGCAAACAATGACAAATTAGATGTTTGTGAAGTAGCACATAATATGGAGTCCAAAGAAACAACTAAACAGACCTCTACTCGCTCCGTAGTAGCTTCTGAGGGCAGTGTTTTGTTTTCTGTCAATCCAATATTCTTGAGTTTATCCAAATAGCTTCTAGTCATTAAAACTACCGTCTCACGATAGGACTTCTCAAAACCCAAACAAGCTATGCGAGATACGGCATCTAATAGCTGAAATATTTATGAAAATCATTTCAACAAGATTGCCACACTATGGATGACAGCAGTTACATCAGAAGAAATCAAAATGATAAAACTAAAACTACACAAAAGCCTAACAAGACACACAGTTTAACACTAAACACTAGCATATACATTCGTAGGAGACAAGGTTTCATACTCGGAGACGTAATAAACTTGGAGTGGAAGCATCTCCCTCTTCAAGACTCTCAATGAAGAGGGGCAAAATCATGTCTACGATTTCCCACTTATTCGCTGACGAGCTCAAGTCAGCAAGGAGACATATGACATTCAGCTGGACAACAGGAACAGCCTGTTTTTCTTTCCCATCCTGCAACAGAAAATAGGTTATGTAGGGAATCCAACATATATTGTTTTCTGAAGGCAAAACTCAAATGACACTGAAACAAGAAACAAAAGCCGCATAGGCGAATAAAGCTCCATTATGGCATAGCAATTAAAACAAACTTTAGCATTAGAAAACAACCTGGTGCACAGCTCTATCATCCATTACAGGAATAAAAAATTTTAATGTTTTATTAATTTCAGCTAAAAAGTTAACGAGCTTACAAAATATGAAGTGCAATGTCAATGGCAATCTAATCATTCGAAGTAATCCTCTATAAATAAGCTGGTCCAGTTATATACAAAAACAACTATATTGAACTTCCTAAGGGTTGTTAGAAGCAGAACCACTTTGTCTAGGAAGGAACAGTTTTCCATACCTGCTCCTCATAGTCATTCCTTTCCCGAATGCATGAAGCTAAACCCATGATAAAAGTGTCAACAAGAGCCCTATCTTTGCTCCATCCAAACTCAATTATTTCACAACATAGCTTTGTGACAGTCTCAAACATAGTTCCCTGATTGTTTCCTGACATATCAGCCTGTTCCAAGGAGCAAACACCAAAAGCTAATTATATATGTTCATAACTTGATGTGGGTTAAGAAGAGCAATATCCATATCCAATAAAAGCCAGAAGAAGACCTGAGCACAGGTGGTCAGGACAAGTGGCTTCAGGGGAATGAGCAACACTCTCAACAGCTGGCCCCCACGAGACACAGCTATTTGGCTAATTCCACTGAGTAATGTGCTGAACAGCTCCTCACATTTTTTCAATTTTCGCCATAAAGAGACTATGCAAGCTTCTGCAGCATCCAGGAGTAAGGCAAGTGTTCGACGCAATAGATCTTTGGAAGATTTCCCATCTGAATCTAGAGAGATGAGGCTCTTAATCTGCACTACTATTGCTGCTTGACAACAGGACAACTTTGTATTTATTCTAACTTTCAGCTGTGGACCCTGTTCTCTCCAGTCACGTTTTCGAACCTGGAAGTGGATAATCAAAAAGGAACTTTAGTCATCCTAACCAAACAAAAAGCAGTCGTCCACACATCACAGTCCAGTAATTCAGATCAGAAAAACCATAGACTATTAAATTCTTGCAACATTAGAAATTCACTTTTAATTTTAGGCGAGCTAAGATTCTTGTACTGATTTGGTCAAGTTTAAACATTATTTTAAATTCATGCTGCCCCCCTTTTTTATACAAAACATTTCACTCTAATACTAATTGTGGTCAGGAAAGATGACACAATTCGTTGAAAGTAATTTTAGAACAATACCTGACTAAGCAGCATAAATAAGGACCTTCATGAGTTATAGATGGAAGAGTATAACAGTGTTTATTTTGATTAAAGAAAAAAGGAAAAGAGGTACAAACTAACCTTTAGAAATGCTGGCAAAGACTTGATCTGTTTCGTGGCCACCTTTCTAACCTGCTCTAAATGCTCGGAGTTGATCGCCCCGTTTCTATCCATCATCTGTCCAAATAACCTGAATGCGATCTCCTGCTTCTCTAACCTGTCCACGGTCTCCTCCTCAAACACCACCATGTCCTGCCTCACCACTCCCGGCCCCTCATTGGATATTAATTGATCTGCACCGCTCCCTGCAATGCCACCCGAGATCCCATTCCCCATAGGAGTCACAGAGGAGACCTCGCTCGCAGCGTCGTCAGCGGTCTCCCGATCTTCGTCTTTAGTCTTCCCCTTCGACGGCGTGCTCTGCACTGAGGAGCTCCAAGACGACGAGTTCTCGGAGAGTGAGGAAACAGATGTAGCCTCTTCGGCCCCGCGGGAGGCGAATTGGTCGAGGAGGCATCCGACGAGCCGCTCAGACTCGGCGGGACCGATCGGGGGGCAGCTCCTGGAGATGGCGACGAGGAAGGTGCGGGCGATGGCCGGGTCTCCGTCGCCGCCACCGCTGAGGATGGAGACAACGGCAACGACGGTTCCACCAAAGAAGGCGGAGAGGTCGGCGGAGAGGTCGGGTGAGAGGTCGGCAGCCTGGGCTGTGTACCGGAGGAGGTCGGAGAAGAAGAGGGAGATCTGGTCGAAGGAGAAGGCCTGGGGCCAGAAGGAGGGGCGGAAAGCGACGGACGGGGCGACGCGGAGGAAGTCGAGGAGGGGAGCACGGGCAGAGGCGGGGGCGGTGGCGCACCGTGAGAGGAGACGGACGAGGGCGACGAGGGCGTGGAGCTGGGAGCGAGATACGCGAGGAGGGACCGCGGAGGCGCCGCCGGGAGTGGACCGGTTGAGGGAGGGGGGGCAGCGGGAACAGATCCAAGAAAGCTTGTCGGCGAACAGGTCGGGGTTCTGCGCCACGAGGTCGCAGAGCTCCGCGAGGGCTTCCATGGCGAAATGTGGGACGGAATAGAAGGACCGGGAATCAAACCTCCTCCCCTTCCTTTATATTTGGTGACGGGCGATGAGGAAGCGGAGGTGGAGGAGAAGGCGGAAGGGGGGATCGATCGCCATTCTTAGGATCCCTCCTTTCTCGACAGTGTCCATGGGATGAGAAAACAAGAGGGCTTTTAAAACCCGCTCCGTCATATCCGGTGTTATGGACACGCGTCGCGCTGTGAACGGTAGTAAGGGCTTTATTTGCTATGTGACTTCTAGTGGATCCGGACCTGGACTTTTTCTCTCTGTCTCGCTGCGCGTTTACGTTGAAGTCGTTTTGAGAAGGGAGTCGTGGAGAAGAATAAACCAGAGGCGATGAACGGACGTTAAGAACCAAGCTTGCTTGACAAAGGTTTATATAATCATTTAGACTAATTATAAATTACCTTTTTTAATTAGTTATATTTAGCATCTTAATTCATATATTTTAAAAATTATTATTAAAATTTTTATCTTTATAAAAATAAAATATTTGATCTCGTTACTCTAATAAAATTTCTCTCTCTTGATTTTTAATCCTATAAAATTATCTTTTTAATCGTATATAGAAAGCCGTAGAGATCTTAATATAATTTTTAAAAGTATAGATATCAAAATATAAATAAAAAAATATATATAATTAATCCTAATCCTTTAATGAAAAACTATACATATATATATATATATATATATATATATATATATATATATATATATATATATATACTTTCAATATCAATGAATTTTATATTTATTCTTCTACATATATTTCTATAAAACCTAAAAACTTGTAAATATTTCTCATATAGTTGAATGTAATTTAGTTGTTAGATGTAAATTTCTATAAAACCCAAAATGTTTAATTTCTAGTTGACATCATATAAAAAATACATTTTTATATTTTAAATGTAAATTAAAATAATATTATTTATAAATAATTTTTTTAAAAAGGTAATGGTGTAGACAAGAAGGGATTCAATTATTTAAATTCTAATTGGCATCTCGAAAAGCATATTTTTTTCTAAATTTTAAATGGCAAATGATGCCATGTTATATATATATATATATATATATAAACTCTTTTTTTTCTCAAAGTTAAGTGGTAGAGATGACATTTGATTTCTGAACTTGTTATCGATAGTTAATGCATTAACCAGCGAAACTATTTGACATCTCTCGAAAGTTCATGGAATGGTGTTTCCAAGCTCAATTTTGGTTTGACATATGAGTATGTATATATAATGCTCCATTAATAAGAATAACAAAATATTAATTGATTGCGGACTGAATTCTTAGATTTTCCTTCTTTAATTAAAATAATACTAATAATAACGATGATGATAAGAAGGGTAATTAAGGGTGTCAATGAATCGAGTCAACTATCGATTCAACTCGACAAATGAAAGCATCCAACTTTCATATCTAAATTTGACCCGGCTAATGTGTAGCCTCACCTAATCCAAATGAGCGATGCAATGAGCAGATCGAGTCAAACTATATCAAGAGTGATGACATGATTAATCTTCTCCAGCAAAGTTTCGACTTGCTTGCACAGCTACAAATTTTCATGCGGCATGAACTGATTAATCCAATAATGACATAATAATCCAAATACGACATATTTAAATCATTAAATTTGATTAATGGTCGAGTCATGCTTTAAAACCTTAGTCGATGATGCTAACCTCACCAACTAAGCGTATGAATTGTATATACGTAATCATTATTTCATCTGGTGTGAAATGTCGATTTTACACTTATAGGAAGAAATAATTAAAAAAAAGGGAGAAAAATAACTAGAATCATATGTGTTTTTAATTGAATCAAACGATATCAATTATATATAATTATAATTATACTATATTCTTTTTGTTTGTTTTAACTAAGGTTGCCACTTGGAAGGCAAATTCGTCACTATTTTTACACCATTGAGCGATAGAACCATGCCACCCCCGATGAGCTCATTTGATTTTGACTTAGTTGTCTCGACCTCGAATAATATATAGGAGGTCTTTCATATTTCAATTGAATTTGAACTAACTATTTTTATTAAAGATTATCTCTGTTTTCCTCTCCACTTTTATCATGACTTTGTAATACAATAAGTTTTTATTTGCTCATATGACATTAAACTCTGGGCATTATCTCAGGATTTTCATTGAGAAATGTCAATGGCTCCCTATTACCTCGATGCTAATCTTATTGTTCTGGTTATATGACATGTGCATTAGAGGTTCAACATATTTTCTATTTACTCGCTTTGGCCAGGAGGGCTTCAACATTAAAACAAGTTAAAACAATATATGTTTTTATTTGTTTGATGAGGGAATGGTCGATAAACGTCCATTAAAAAATTTTTAATGCCTCCTCAAGATTGCACAAGTTGGAGGAGGAAGAGCTGAAAGACATTAAAGTCTCAGTTAAAAGTTAGAAGTCGAAGGAGTTCAAAAGCAAAAGTCTAAATGTTCTGAATCGATTAAAGATTAGGCAACAAATGAAACTAACTCACAATTTATACGAGCCAAAGACAACTCTCGAGTTAACTTAAGTAATCATTTGACTACTCGTCGATTCAAGTAGCAGGTGATGCAATACCATTAGAATGACTAAGAGTTATAGAGATCATTAATACCATATTTCAAAATCCAAATAGCTTTGGTAATTGACACATGAAAGCATACAGAGGTGCCACATAAGAAGGGTGAAGTTATCGTTACAAGGTCTCATGAATCAAATCTAAACGATTATCACATAATGACCAAAACGATATACTTGCAAGTGAGAAAAGCAATGGTGACATCTCGCACGTATAGACAAAATGTGCAAGGAAAACCACAATTTTAATCGATGAACCACTCAAGCCAAGAGTCAAGCCTAATAGTATGATCAACATGGCCTAAAGTGTTATCTATAATGATAGCATAATCAACATGACCTAAATTGCTTTCTATCATGACAATACAACCAACATGACCTGAAGCACTTTCTACTATGACAGCACAACCATCACGGCCTAGAGCACTATTTATAATGATAATATGATTGATATAGTTTGAAGTGCTTTATATAATGATAGCGCAATTGACACAGTCTGAAGCATAGTAAGCACTCTCTACGATGATAGCATGACTAACATAACCTAAAGTACTCTATATAATGCAGTTTGAAATATCTTTCTCAATTTTATTGGTATTAATAGCTCACTAAAGGTTTTAGCCTCGACTCGCTACACTTATAAGGCATGGCGGAAAAGATGGGAGGGGGGGGGGGTGAAATAATAGAAAAAATAATAAATTAATCAACATCTTAATATTATATGATCAATACCCTAGTACTATATCTAAATACTTTCACAACTAACAAAACAATGCTCTCCGATATTAATGCACATAAATGAGTATAACAATCCTAGAGCCACAAAATAAAAGGCTTATGTGCCTTCCAAAACATAGAGCAATTTTCAGTTTGTATTTTTACTTTTATCGTTCTTAATACTTTATCGACATCTTAACTCTTAAGTTAACTTAATCATTGGATGAGTCTTATCAAGTATGCCCTCGATATAATTTTATAATATTAAATATTTTATAGATTCAATTATTCCCGACACTAATAAGAGGCAAACACGAAATAGGAATTTGATTGACTTAATCAATATTTATCTCAGATAATCAAATTTTAACTTAATAATACTTTAGAGAAAATTACTTGATATTCAATAAATAAGAGAAAAACTATATATACTAAATTGAGATTAAGAGAAGGGAGTAAGATTACATAGAGTAAGAGAAGGGGGAGACAACCTCTGATGAGCTAATTAGATTTGATCAGTAAGATAAGATGAATTCTAAGATAAGAGGTTAAGACAATGTATTAACTTATTAAGAGGACAAGACAATAAGATCGAGTGAAATTAAATATAAAGTTTGAAAATAATGTATAAACTACAATAGTTAAGCTAATCATATGTATTATTTCTCATTGGATATCACCGTGTATAAGGAAGTATATAAGTGATAAATTTAAGGACATTTGTGTTAGTCAAATTGAGATTTTTCATAGAGTCCTAGACCCGAAATCAAATTGGAACTAAATCCGTTTGTTTCCCCAGAAGGGTCGGCAGAACACGATGGCTTGCGATGGCAGTATGCAGGGCGTGGGATCAAACTCGAGTCCCCACCTAACCAGGTCGGATTCCTGAACCTAGTTCACGTTCTTTCATGCAACAGTAGTTGAAACCTACCCCGCTGACTACCCCTTCCACATCATGAAAGAAACTACCAAATTATTACGAACTTAACTGGTTTTACTAAGTCGTGTGTCACTCTTGCATGTCCGTCCGTAAAGGTCGATCTCTTCAAAATCTCTTATAGCCCCTTAGGACCACAAAAGAGAAAACGAATTAGAAAAAATATTTCACTTGGGATCCACAAGTAATTATTTCAAGAAACACTTCATAGTTAATGCAAATTATAAATAAACTTCAAAAGCTGTGAACGGTCGCACAACAAAGAGTTCAAAATGATCTACTATATACCGAAATGTCCATAAGTATCCTCATGACACAATCTTCATGCACAAGCCTAAAGCGGCCACTAAAGCCAACCAAACTAGGGTTGCTAAGTCTATTGTCAATCCTTACATGTTGTGCAAAGCATAAATAAAACCGAAAGATACGGACATACATGAGCATTACATCAAACACCATGTTTCTAATTTTATCAGTGACATTCTCCCCCCACTTATTTATTTGGCATCCTCGTTGAAACATTTGCAGATTCTGCATCTCTTCGTCTTTGCTAAGTCTTTAATCTTCTACTTCAACTATAATACATCTCTTGGCTCCCAACTGCACTCCGCCACTATTGTTGAGTAATTGAACTTTAATCCGCCATGCTACTTCAACTCACCAATGACTTTAACTCTCTGGTGTGAGGTCGGCTAAGTTGTGTTAATCCCTATTGATTCTTGCAATTCCCTCATATGAATGAAAAAATTTATCCTTGGTATGCACTAGTCTCTCAAATACCTCATAACACTTGAACCGAGTAAATGCTTGTTGGAGTTTTAATGAGCA